CGTATCCGGCTGTCAGCCCGTCTGAAGCACATGTGCCCCGATCTTCACCCCAGTATCCGAGTACTTCCCCGTCTATTTGACGAAGTTACTCTGGCTTTACAAACGACAGCCGGATTTGGCTCGCAGCGTGACACCGGCAGAGAGCTTGGCCCTGAGTGTTTGGGTCCTTAGCAAACACCGCAAAGGAGAAACACCTGCAAAGTGAATGGATTTAAGTTGGAGGATTTGAAAGTTTCCCCTGTCGCAATATCTCACATTCACCCAGCCCAGCACCTTTCATCCCCAAGGCTCCTTGCAGACTTGATGTTAAGCTGGATTTTGGAATCATCTGCATTCGTTCAGCTACACAGATTTTTTGTTTTGCAAACCAAATCCACAAAGTCCACAGAGCCAGCGCTGGATTTATACTTTTCCGTATGTGTTTGGACTCAAAGGCCCTTTTAATGGAAGCCGATGTCCACCCCAAGCCCCGGGATTCAAAGCAAGAGCAGGAATTACACAGCCATCTGGAGTAGCTCAGGACTGCACAGACCCGACAAATTCTCCCCCTGCTGCTTGTTGATAAAAGACAAAGCCACCAGAGGAAAATCTGGCCTGATAATAATTGTCCGCCCTCCCCCCGGCTGGCCTGCTACCAAATGGGGTGATTGTGCCTTGAAAGTGACCCCAAAAAGCTCATGCATTTGCACACGTCACCTGGTTACACACACACACACACACCCTGGGATAAAACCTTATAAGGAAAGTCATGTGGGAGTCGAGGATGCTCAGCACCTGGCAGCATTAGGCCCGTAAGATTGCATCTCTCCAGCTGTCGGCTAGACAGGCCAAGCACACTGTATACTTCCCCCCCCGCCCCCCCCCCCCTGCCCCCGAACCTGACACAATGCAACAAGTGGCGTGCTGAACAGCGAGATCCGGGGAGCGCAGGAGGTGCCCCTGCTGAGATCGGTCACTCACTCTTCCAGGCATGTGCACATCTGCCTCCTGACCTCATCTTTTCCTCTCCCCGACTGACTCCCCCTTCGCGGCTCGTAGGCAGGACGGCAGCAGTGAGGTTCCAGGCGAGGCGAGGGAGGTGGCGGGTGGAGGCAGGGCGCTCCAGCCGGGAGAGAGGGGGTGGGGACGCTGGTGAGAGAAGGGGCTGAACGGGTGTCGAAGCTGGCAATGCGGAGGGAGCGCCATCAAAGGAGACGAGGCCTGAGCTGTAGGCTGGGCCTGAGCGATGTGGGGCCTGGAAAGCTGGAACCAGAAGTTTAAGAGGCAGCCAGTGAACTGACACAGTGGCAGACAAGAGGGTGAAGCGACAGGAGAGGGAGGTTATGGCTCAAGGACGCAGACTTAGGATCCCCTGCCATCCTCTCTGCATCGAATGCCCTCCCCATCCCTGCTCGCTCAGGCACCAGCGTTCAGCACTCGAGGCACTCCTTCGCACTCACGCCTCCGCTGGGCCTGCTGGACGGGAACTCGCCATGCAAAGAATAACCAGCCCCTCAGTTCTTCCTTTCCCTGGGTTCCCCAGTGCGTCCTGCCTTCGCGGCTATGTCGCAAGCACCCCGGGGCAGGGACTGTCTCTGTGTCATGTCCAGGACAGCACCAAGCACATTGCCAGGGCCTAGCCGATAATAACAACAATCACAGTACAGAAGTTGCTCATTGACTGCCCAGGTATCTGAGGCTGTTGCTGTCCCTCTGCCGAGCAGTAGCAGATTTCTGGGCTTTGCAGGACAGTTAGATGAGAAGTCCGAGTAATTTCTTAGTGTAACTTTGTTTATTTACACTATATTCACCAGTCCTGGAACAGAGGTGGTCACAAACGGCCCACAGGCAACCCTTTCTTCCAGGAATTTCAGCCCAGTGCTCAGTGCCCTGGAGTAGCTTTCCCCCCAAGAACTGACTGTAGTTGGAGAGCAGAGACCAAACTCCCTTTCTGCTGGCTACAGCTCCCGCCCAAAAGCAACCGCATCACAAAACTAACAACAAGCAGCAGGTCTTCGAAGACTGAACAGCACTCGCATGCTCAGAAAAAGAACTTGTAAGACTGCGTATAACAGCGCCGCCCGGATCAAATCAGATAAAGAGCATGATCTATTTGCCTTGTGAGTCCTTTGGCCACCCACCTTTGTGTGTGATTGTACCATTGTCCACAGGAATCACCATTGGCTAAAGTCCCGTGGTAGGAAGCAGAGGAGTGACCGTTGGAGGCATCCATGAAGAGGAAGCCAGGGCACTCTAGTTACAAACCTAGGCTCATCCTGCCCACGCGCCTTCCTGTCGACAGAGAGAGCCCGGCTGCAGGTTGTGGAACTGTCCAGCAGCAGCCGGGGCTATGGTGGTGGACTCCACCAGAGGCTGCTGGAGACGAGACTGACAGACAGACACATTACACTCCGCTTGAGTTTTATTCAAAAGCCTCGAGGATCCCCGTGGATCCTTCGCCGCTCTGGCGGGGTGCTGCATGGCCAAGAACTCCCCCGAAAACCCCATCCTCCCTCACGCTAAACTTCCAGCGCCCTGGCGTTACGTGGGCGAGGGGCTCCCTCTCCAATTCCAGGCTAGGGAGGCACTGGACTGTCGGCTAGCGGGGGTCATGAGCGTGGCATAGACGGAACAGAAAGGGAGGTCCCCTCCCGAGCCTGAACCCCAATACTGCATGGGGTTGGAGGGAGCCCGTCACCTCAGCAGCTCCGCTGGGACCGTGGGGCTCAGAGGGCGTAGCTGCATGACGCCCACTGTTCATCAGATGCCCGCAAAGAGGCCAGCCCTCAGAGAGAGGGTCTGGGACTGAGAGAGGCTGAGGGGGCTCCGGTTGAACAGGGTCCTCGGCGCCAGGGGTCCCTCCACTGCTGAGTCCCAACTTGTCACTGATCGTGACCTGGCCAGTCGGTTGCCATGGAGATGATTGTCCAGGGGGTGTATTCAGAGTGGTGGTGGAAGTCATGTCATCCGCAGATACTGAAGGCCAGGCGGCCATTTTTGGCCTGATCTCTTGTGTAACACAGGCCAGGAAGCCGTCTCCAAAATGGGTGTGATGATACCTCCTGCACAGGCTTGCTCCCTGAGACTGAGGCAAAGCCCAGTGGAGCCAGAGGCCATCTTTGTATTGGCGTCAGTGGGCTCTGGGCCAGTCCCCACTCACCCTGAGACGATAGAATTGCTCTCCCATTGTGAAAGTGCGTTGTCGAACTGCCTCCCACCCTGCTCCATCTCCATGCAGCTGCGGAGGGCTGGTGCCTGTTTGCGATGCTGCGGTGAGGGAAAGAGATTGTGTAGCCCGTGGAATTGTTCTGGCATCACTACCCTTGAGTTGAGAGCAGAACCGGAGGGCTTCGCTCACCGGTTTGGTTTGGAAAAGCCCACGCTGGTGCGCAGACAGGAGCACACAGCTGCTCAGGCAGGGTTTGTTTTGCAATCTGGCTGTGTCCGGCTGCCTGGTTCTGGGGCATATCTGTCTAACCAACTCCCCAGGAGAGTATTAGCCTGAATGGGGAGACAGAACACACAGCTAGGTTCAGGCGCCCTGCAACCTCTGGGCTGCTCACCTGTTCAATAATTAACACGCTGTTAATTACCACAGAACACAGGGAGCAGGTTTAAAACAAACAAAAGGAAGTATTTCTTCATACAACGCACAGTCAATCGGTGGAACTCCTTGCCAGAGGAGGTTGTGAAGGCCAAGACCATAACAGGGTTCAAAAAAGAACTAGATAAATTCATGGAGGATAGGTCCATCAATGGCTATTAGCCAGGATGGGCAGGGATGGTGTCCCTAGCCTCTGTTTGCCAGAAGCTGGGAATGGGTGACAGGGGATGGATCACTTGATGATTACCCATTCTGTTCATTCCCTCTGGGGCACCTGGCATTGGCCACTGTTGGCAGACAGGATACTGGGCTAGATGGACCTTTGGTCTGACCTGGTATGGCCATTCTTATGTTCTTATATTATGTTCTTAACACACTAATGCTCTCGCCCTGACCTTGGCCTTTCATAGACTTGCTAAAGCAAATGAAAAGTTTTAGAAGTTGGGAGTTCAGTTCAACAATGCTTGGCGGGACACCGCCCCATCCCCAAGAAGAAAATGGCCCGTCTATAAGTATAATAATGACTGATTTGCTATCGATGCCCTAATATATCTTCAGCTTTAAAAGCACTTTACAAACCTCAGCTAATTACGCCTCACTCAAAATGCCTCTGAAGTAGGTGAGCAAAGATTCCAGTACCCCAAACTAGAGCCAAAGGGGAAGAGGCTGAAAGTTGGGAGAAGAAGGTAAAACATGGGACTTGTGCTCTGGGTGAGCACGAAGAGTCAGTAACCGGCCTGGGTTGAATCCTGATGTTCTCAGTCCTTCTGAAACCTAAATCTTCATCAAAGTTGATGCACCAAATTCTGAGGCCTTTACTCAATTCTTACTCAGGCCAAACTCCCATTGAAGTCAGCTCGGTTGAGTAACGAGCACCAGCTTTGGCCCTTTGATTTCATAGGAACATAGGATGTCAGACTGGAAGGGACCTCCTGGGTCATCCCCTTAAAAGTAATGATTTGGGGTCAGGATTGAACACAGATGGCTTAGAAGTGTACCATACAAGTGTCTATAACTCATTACCAGTCACCTCATCTCACCGAGTCCTCAAGTACAATGTCTGTCTGTCTGTCTACCTATCCCCCATGTACATCTGTCTGTCTGTCAGGCCCTCCTCGCTGTAGTACCTGTTGCTTCTAATCTGTACCGGAATAAGCATCTGCTATTCCACATATTTACTGTATGCTTCATAAAACATATTGCAACATATCCACAAAGTATAAGGCAGAATCTAGAAGCTACATGGCCATGTTGCACCGCTAGCTGATATTTTGTGAGTGGCAAAATGTACCCTGGGAGGAAGCTCCCTGCGGTGTGTTTGTACCTGGAGTAGAGCTAACCCAACCCTCTATTGTGAAATAGCATGAGAATGGACTAAGAGTATAAGATGTAAAAAGACCTTTCTGTATTATTCCAGTAAAGCCGGACCCTCCAGAGAACGTGGTGGCCAAGCCAGTATCCAACAACCCCCGGAGGCTCGAAGTGAGGTGGCAGAACCCTTCCTCTTGGCCTGACCCCGAGTCCTTCCCGCTCAAATTCTTCTTGAGGTATCGCCCCCTCATCCTTGACCAATGGCAACATGTGAGTGACCTCTCAATCGCCTTCACTGAGGGCCAGGTGGTGGGGGGAAGGCTGTGGGGTTGTTGTGTTGTAGAGGGCCAAGCCTGCAGCCCCTCCTTACCTGCTTTGAAGTCAGTGGAGTTGAGGGAGGCACTAAATGCCTCAGAATGGGCCTATGGCTCAGGAAAGACTTTGGATAGGAGGTGCTCGGGAACGAGAAGGGGCTTTATTGCTGCGAAGGCAATGTTACCGCCTGGTAACCAGCTGGCACAAAATGCACATATGATTCTTTCCTTTATGTCAGGCCAAGCAAACGCAACCAAGGCCTGGTGTCTCTTTCAAGTCCCATTCCGCCGTCAAACCACTCCCCCACTCTGCACTGTAATACGGGGCCAGTATCTATTTTCCATACATATGTTCTACATAAAACTTGCCCGCTGAGATGTAAGAGACATTTGAAGTGTAAATGTCACCGCATTTAAATGCGCTCTGCCATGTTAGATTCCAAACCGGAGATAAAAAATATCTTGTGCCACAACACGCTGTGCTGTCAGGGACACAGCCTTTGCTTTGACGTTATCGTAGTTTTACTTTTATTTCTTGTTTCTTTCTTTTTTTTTTTAAGAAAGTTGTCAGTGAGGTTCTTAGGACAGAAGTCCACTGTTAGCTAGAAGAACAGGGATAGCACTGGTAACGGCATTGGAGTGGTTTCAGAGTAGCAGACGTGTTAGTCTGTATCCGCAAAAAGAGCAGGAGTACTTGTGGCACCTTAGAGACTAACAAATTTATTTGAGCGTATCCATTCAACCTTTGTCTTCTCTTCTGAGACTGGCTGACTATAATCCCAATTAGGGCGATGTTCGATGGTGGGCTGTGTGATGGGGAGATTATTAGCTCACTGGCAAATGGAGCAAGGCCAACAGTTTGATGGTAGACATGGATTTCAGATATGTTTGTAGAGCTGGTCCGTGTTTCTGTGTCAGACGGGTTTTTTTTGGATGAAAAAAGATCTTTTGAAATTTCGGTGTCAATTTTTTGGGTCCTTAGATGTTTTCTTATTTTTTGACCAGGCAAAAATGTGTAGTTTTGTTCCCAGTTGAAATTTTTGTTTCTTTTTTTGAAAACCAAGAAATTCTTAGTTTCTGGGGTTTGGGGGGGGGGATTTTTGTCCTCTTTTCTTTCTCTTTACCCCACCCATTTTTCCATTGGAAAGCAGGGGGGTGAAGAGGGGAGGGGTGTCTAACAAATAAAACCTACAAATAAAACTATTTTTTTTTACGTTTTTGAACATTTTCATAAACAAAAAAAAATTATGTTTGAAATGCAAAATTTGGTTTCACTTGGTAAAAAATCAGAAGACTCCAGGGGAAGTTTAAACAAAACAATTTTCTGACCAGCTCTGCCCTTTTGGCTCATTGCAGGAATTACATGAGCAATCAGATGCTCTTTCATCTGTTACTGTATTGTTTTGGGACGGGAGTAACCTGCCTGTCCACACCAGCGACAGCAACAATCCTGCTGCCTGCAGCTCCCTGGGCCAGGATGGCTATGTCTGTCTCACTATGAGCTCTCAAGATAGGCCGGCCCACTCAGTCTGATTGCATGCCTGAGTGCCGGTCATTTTATGCTGCACCCCAAGAGAAAAGGGGACTTGGCAGTTTTCCAGCCTCCTGGAGTCTGTTAAATATGATTGCTGGCATTTGAAACTATGTTAAGAGTGGAAGGATGGTCCTATGGCTAGGGATGCTAGCCTCAGACATGGAAAACTGGTTCAAGTCCCTGCTCTGCCACCGACTTCCTGTGTGACATTGGGCAAGTCACTTAACCTCTCTGTGTGCCACAATGGGGATAAGCACACTTTGTACTTCACAGAGGGGCCATGAGGCTAAACACATTAGAGGCTGTATGGTGCTCAGATACCAAGGCGAGGGGGACCATCTCAATACGTTAGGTGAGAATTCTCAGTAAAAATACAGAGACAATCTGTCCTCGCTGTAACACCCCAATGTGATTCATCGCTGCAGTCTGGAGGGGATTCTCCATTGCATCTGGGAGTGGAGACATAGACGAAAACAATCCTTTCCCCCATATTGCGTGGCTTGGCATTCCTGTTTTAAGAACCAAAGTGTCTGATCCAGAACTGCTGGTGTTCCGGGCTTTTTCCCTCTCTGCCATCACTCATGCTGTGGCTGCATCATTCTTCTGTATTGCTTGTTTATATATTAAAAAAACCCAAACCTAATTGTGAGTGACGTGACACCGGTCGCTGAAGCGGGTCAAATAATGCAAAAGTGTGTTTGGGAATAATTTGCTCCGTGACTGACAGCCAACATTTGCCGACTAAGGTCCTGGGCTCATTATTAGACTGTCTGTCAAGCCAGCTGGAGAATGAAAAATACGATTTGTGAATAAGCGGAATGAAAATGCCGCTGTTCATCAGGTGAATTATTTGCAGTGATTAATTCAATCAGCTCTTTAAACTCAGACTGGGGTAGCACTGCAGGGCCGTGCAAGATTCCCTACACAGCTCTGTCAAGCCACTTAAATTCAGAGCTGCAGCATTTCTTGCTAGCCCAGCCCTGGGCTCCCCGCAACACACACACAGCTTTGCATATCCACCACAATCCCAGCCCACAACCCGCCTCCCTGCCATTCCAGTCCAGGGACACCCCCCATACACACAGAGCCCTGGGCGTCTCCTCCCACTCCCGCCACAGCTTTGTCGATGCACCACAATCTCACCCACCTGGCTCTGCCAATGCATCTTAATCCCGACCTGCAGCAATTCCTGCTATGCCAGTCCTGGGACGCTGCTGGCCGGTGACCAGCGTGACTGAGATGAGGCCACCACACGTGCCAAGCCTGCACTGAAGACAGGCAAGAGGCGGCCCTGAGCTCCTGGTACCATGCCAGGATGTCACTCGCCCCGTGACCAGTTCAGCCAGGTGCTGTGCGGCAGTTGAATAAGACGCTCTGAGTTTTCATTTGCCGAGCAGGGTTGCTGGGCACAGAATGAGAGGCCGTTCCTCTGCTCACAGCCTGAAGGGGACGAGCAGGTGTTGACTGGCACCTCTGGAAAAGGTGTGACGTGCAAATGGTTAATGAGTGTCAAGTGTCACAGACAGGTCTCTTCTCTGCTGCATACTGTGTCGTTCCCAGGTGGCACTAGCCCTCCCCTCCCTAGGGGAGTCTAGGGACCAGTCTACCCTGGACTAGGGCATGTTCCAGGAAGGGGAGGTGCAGCCCAAGCCATGTGGCATGTCCAAGCTGCCCTGACAGGCTGTTTGGCTGACACAGGGGTGTAAGGAGCTATCGGTATAAACCCTTCCGTGCTCAGCTCCCATGGCCAGGTCATGACACACAACCTGACTGCCGACCGTGGGAACGTCCATCACAAAGTGTCCCGGCAGGTGAATAAAAAGGAGGCCAGGTGAAGAAGGGTGGAACTCTGCCAACAGCCACAAGAAGCAATTAAACCATATGCTGGCACCCAGGGCCTCATGCTAACCACCATTCTCCCTTCTTCACCTTCCCCCCCGTCCCACACACACTTAACCCCCTACCTCATTTAAACCCCTTGCATACACAGGAGTCAGCTAATGGAAGTCCTGCCTGCCACCTACTTAGGCTGCATCCCCCAACCCAGCCTTACTTTGTGCCACAGGGCTGTCACCCAGCAGGGCGCAGGGACGGGCCGAGGTGGAGATGGGAGCAGGCCAACTTCTTAAACATTCCCAGGGTGAAGAGAGGGATTCCCGGGGCAGCAGCCTCCGGGCACACGACAGAAGGACTGCAAGAACAACCCCGGACTGGCTGGCTGAGCTGCAGGTCACAAGAGGGCCTCGGGAGTGACTGGCTGTGGACAGGAACGTGCATTCAGACTCCGCTTGTGTGCATCATTTGTTGGCAGCAAAAGCAATTCCCTCCTCCCCCTGAAGTGTGTCTGATGGCCGCCCGAGAGCAAAGGGCTCCTTCCCCTATTGCCTGCTTTGCGCAAAGATTTTCACAGAATCGTAGAATATCAGGGTTGGAAGGGACCTTAGGAGGTCATCTAGTCCAACCCCTTAGGCTTTGCTGTGCTGGGGTGATTTGCACAGTCCGCTCTAAAAGGCTGCCCTGAAGGTATCAACGGGAACGGACTGGCTGTGTCGTGGGTGCTCCAGGCCCTGGCGCGCTGCCCAAAGCATCCAAGTGCCCATTTTACAGATGGGGAGAGTGAGACGCAGGGAGCTGCTGTCTCAGTCCAGGTAACGCAGCAGATCAGGGACTTCCCAACAGGATCTGGCCCTCCATGTACAGGCCAGAGACCCACACTTGCCCCACACATCTGAGGAGAGGAGGGGCTGGCTCAGACGTGGGCCCCACTTGGAAGCATCCTGCTCCCCACTCAGCCAACTGGCCATCAGCAATTAGCTGTGTCCCACCTCCGGATCGCTGTGGGGCCCTCTCCAGTGCAGGGCTCCAAGGATTTGCCCTCAATCTGCCCCGAGGCCCCCCGGATACCTAGCATCCTCTATGGGCAGATAGAGGAGGGGCTGGGGCCTGCGCTGCTGGAATTCAAAGACCCAACAGGCTAATGCTTCATATAGCAACAAGTGAAGGTCTCCAGCCACAGGGCAGGGACAGGACAGAGTTAAAGCAGGTATGAGAACCCGAGCGACTCCACATTAGAACCTGAGTGACTCTGTATCAAAATTGGTTAGTTTACACAAGTAGTGAGATGGGGGCCGGCGGCGCTCCTGAATTGCCAACTCTACGCATTCAGCCTGAGATGTGACTCAAGCCAGGCTCCGTCCTGCTGCTGTCTCATCCCTCAGCCCCAGACTGCTGTGACGTTGAACTCAATCCTTTAGGCCTGGGAATTATTATCAGCGTGCTAAAAGAAGGAGCCCCAGGCTGCCCCTCGCCCGAAACGCGGGTGTCTGTGCACGCTGTTACGTGTGGTGGACGCGTGGCACGTTGCAGCACCTAAGACACAGCTGGGACACACATGAGCGGCGGGTATAATAGGCCAGCGGTGG